AAAATTTAAATCTCACGAAATATTGGATATTATGAGGTAGAAATTTATGTTATATTATTACTTACTTTACTTCACTATATTTTTCAATTTATTATTATATTTTTTTCTTTTATTTTTRGCATCAACTACAAATGTGGCTAATATACATAGGTGCATATTATTATTATTATATAGGCACTAACTGTTATTTAAATAAGATAAAGATAAGAATTATAAWTGTATTAGAATAATAAATTACTAGGTATCCTACTATATACCTATCGAGGGACAGAAAATCATTGGATTTTTTCCTTAGCCCTTTACCTACTAAAATCCAAAACTACAACTACACTCAAAATATTTCTTTGGCTTTAACTTTAATTGATGAAATAATAAATATGGTAGATTGTACTAATCTGTGATCTGTATACTCTGTAACAATAATGAGTTATCACCAAACAAAACTATACATAATGAGATTTATTTTACAGGCAGACAACATACCTGATTTCTAAATTTGTAAGTATAACATTAATTTATATCATTACAATATAATTTTTTTAAATTTGTATTTTGTTTATCATAATATATATATCACTGATATAATATCAGTATAAATTTAGAGGAATAAACAATTTTCTGCACAAAATATACCATATTTAAATCTAGTTTATATAATATTATATATTAATTATTTTACTGTATAGTGTATATAATATCATAAATCATAATAATTAATAAGCATACTATTAAGACTTGATCACTATTACTTCTGAAATTGTGCAATATTTTAACATAAATATAATGCTATAAAATATTAACTAATAAAATAACACTAATTTTGGTGCTTCTATATAAACTCCTAATCGAAATGTATGAATCATTTTAAAGGATCACTTGTACATTTCCAACAATTTTGGTATGATTTACCAACTTTATATTCAGACGATATTACACATGTACCTATAACATAACGATCGTCTGCCGATATCGTATAACTACAGTGCTCCATACAAATATCACTTGAGTAGTACTCATCTTTTCCACATTCTGATGTYACCAATCCCACAAGAACAGCCATGACCAATAACGAATACAATTTCATGATTTTGATTGACGTGTTTTGGAATTTGATCTACACACTAATATATAAGTATTAAGTAAGCTATTTAATATTTATAATTTTAGTAATCAAAACTCACAGTAATAATTCGAGTTGTTCGGCGTATAACAATGAATATATTGCTATAAATAACGCTGTAAAGGATGTCTATCCTTCCAACCAGTGTGTAATACGTATGTCTACTCGAGCGGGTTTTACGCTAAAATCTGAAAAGAAACTATAGGTAAAGTATAACTAAAGTATAACGCTGCGCTACGTCGCGCTACGCTAACAGTAAGAATATAATGACATTGACTAATAAACGTAATTCAATTATATATCCTTTATCCATATCGTAATTATTGTGATAAAATAAATATACAACGTTGCCTTATTTAAAAATCAATAATCCAATAGAAGACTATATTATATTATAATCTCTCATCGTGACGAATACGTTCAATTAATAATTGTATTGATAATCTGTGTTGTGTCACAGACTATATTTTATTGCAAGTCATTACGAAATAGCACACTTGAAGTACTTGGACGCACATTAAACACACACACACGCACTCACGATAAATTTAATTAATATAAGTATTTACAATTTAATAAATATTATCAATCTTTTAAATATTAATTATTCCCGTCGTTCGATTTAGAAATGCGGCTACTTTTACTGTCATAATATAATTTCAATAAATAAAAAGCGGGTAAGTGGATGTCACTCTGCAGCACATTAGGTGGTGGGGTGGACCTGTGACTAGGGTAGGTTAGATTTGAATGAAATGATAGGTATCATTGTATACGAAAAACGATTCTG